TGGGAGAAAACAACGCATATGGTTGGGTCTCAGTAGCTTGATGAAAGATGTGGGCTGTCAGTGACCTTTCTAGTGCTCTTTGCAAAGTTGCCCTCATCCTTGCTTTTAATTAGGGTGCCACACTAATGATTACCATTTTAACATCACTACTTTTGTAACTACAATATAGAGTAATTAAAACCACGCATTCGCAATTGCTCTGGCCGTCAGCCTTTGCCACTGTTGAGCTGTCACAAACAAGTTTTGACAAGCCACTAACCATCAATACCTCAGAATGACTTATTTTTTAAATGAGTCACAGTTCTCCCTTATACTTCACCTTTAAACTCGATAAAATATATATCTATGTGATCGCTGCAGGTGTTGGGCACAGACCCAACACAACTCTGCTTTTGATTACAAACAATTTCAAACAAATGTTCGTAAATGGCTTGCATTTCAGGCCAGAGCTTTTGTGCACACAGTCACTTAGAGTCTCCATCCATACCTTTAGGGGAAAGGAAGAGAGAAACAGGTCTGGAATTGATTATGCGGATTACAATTTGAATCATAGCGGGTTTATCTCCGAAGATACTTAGTTCAAGATCTTGGGGATATTTAGAGGTAAAAGCTCAGGGCAAATAGCATTCTTGGGTGGCCTAATCCATGTCAAAGACTAATCCGTGGGTTTCACTCCATAAAGAGAATTGTAATCAAGACGCCACCCTTGACCTCTTTAATCCTCAGCCTTTCAGCAACTTTGCTCTTGAAACTCTCAGCTGAAACTAAATCAAGACATCCCTGCCCGTGGGCACTGACCTATCGAAAGTAATCAGCGGTGATAGGAGGCGACATCAAACTGTATGTGGATCAGTACCAAATAATCCAAAATGTTGGAATAACAGCACATTGGCATAATATAATTTAGTTTTCAAATTTTTCTCATTGGCGACTATTGTTGCATGCAGATTTACCTTTTTAGTAATATTTGCAAATATTATTTTCATAAAGTATTCAAAAACATAATTAAATTTTTAAAAGAGACCAATTTAATTAAGCACTAGGAAATACATTTTGCTAAATAAACATTTTGGTGCGTTAACTGTATTATTTTGAAAATTAATATGGCTGTTAAATTTTTTACGTGTTTACAAGGCATTTAATCTGTGCCTGTTCAAATCAAAGTGTACTGACAGCATGTTTGCCGTTATTGAACCAAATAAATACCAGAACTCTAAAATTCTCTGAACGTTATTTGTTTTAAACAAAAATGTATCTTGCAAAAACACTCAGTAGGATTCTGTAAGACAACCTGTATAGAATGGGTCACAGCTTTTGGACTGGCAATTCTCTCTGACTGGAATGACTAATCCCAGATGTCTGCTTGACCATCTGCATCACGTCTGTCTTGATTAGTGCCGTCTTGTGTAGCAGATTGCAGCATCGAAGTGGAACCTTTCAAGCACCGCTTAGCCTGACCTCCATCTGTAGCTCTGGAGGAAAAACACAGCTCACCCTCTAGCGAATTGTGTGTTGAGTTACCTTTATAAATATGTCAAGCCATCGACCATCAACTAATAGAATCAAAAAAGGTCTGCTGGGTCAGTTCCTGAGAGCTTGATTGTTATTGTTTTTCGTTTGCACATTCATGCTTGTCACAGCAGCAGTTTCGGCTTTCCCTCATTGAGCTCGAAGATATATATCAGCTTGGTGAAGCTGATAGGCTCTTGTGAATCCTTGCCAAATGGAACAGTGCCATTTCTTCCTGTGATATTCACTTGTTTCAATTTGTAGATGACCCTGACAGCCTGGTTCCAACTCATTCCGTTTGGCTGGGTTTCTTGGTGAAATACTGCCTCTCAGGTCAATAAAACACAAAATAAAATACTCCAGACCAGCCTGTAGGGCAAAAGGAAAGCCCTATTCGATTTTAAACCTTGCACGATAGCTTCTTGCACCTTCAAACTACTATGATCAGGAGTAAAAGTCTGCCCATAGATCTCATAATATGACACAATAAGGTCAGTAGAAAAGACCAGATGCGTCTGAACACAGGAAAGAAGAAGAGAATCAGGTGTTTTGACATTTATAGGAAAGTCTTAGTACTGAGAACATATGAGATGCAGAAAAGGGTGGGAACAGAGAAAGTATGAGACAAGGTTTATCAGTGAGATGGAAATTATTAAATGTGGGAAGTGTCCCTTGTTGCATTTGTGGAATGTAAACATCTTATGTAAAAGGGATGACCTCACTGAATGTTGTTTTTCTATTATTGCAAGCCCTTTATGTGTTGTGTGATTAGGTTCGATGCATAATGCCACAAAGATCAGGGCCCCACTGGTGAGCACACTGAGAAGCCCGACTCTCTGCTGGTTTCTAAGAAAAGGTTGTGGTGGCTTGGTGGAAACCAAGCTGTGGCAGAAATGATTCCAACAGGTGCTGGAGCTGCTTTGTTGTCCTTTTTGCTTAATGAGTTTTTGATTGATAGACTTAACATGTGCTAATTAGAAGATTTATTTGTACTTGTCAGTGAGAAATTGCCCTGCCTCACCTCAAGCTCCATTTCAGTTTGAGTGATGTTGTTGGGCTTGAAATGGACTAGATGTGCTTAGACCAAAAGTCCTAAAAGTAACAATGGTTGTGACTCTTATTAAATAAATCACTATGGATAAAGTATGAAGCACTGTAAGTTGGAAGGTTGCCACTGTTTCATTTTAAGTCCAGCGTGGCACTGTGCATTTACTTACAGGCTGCAGTGTATGAAGGCCTATTATGTCCTGTAGATTTTTGCAGTCTCTTTACAATGCTGAAATTCTTTCTATGGGCCTGGAATGCACGTGTCTGTCATGAAGCCCTTAGTAACAGCTGAAGAGGACACTTCATCACGACCACTCTACAGTCATCGCCCTCACTCAATTAGTCTCCATCAGCAAGTTGCAAGCGATGGTGACAAGTCTTGATGCTTTCAAAGGCCCGTAGAAGTGAGGTGGGATTTTCTTTCAACAAGAGTAAGGGGATATATAGACCACTGAGTTAGAAATTTAAGAGGAGCACAATGTGGATTAATCATTGTGAAAATCATTGACTAAATGTAACAAAATAAATAATGAGTCAAAATGTTGTATTATACATGTGTAAAATTATTAAGGTGTACTGTTTATTTTGTTCAACCAATCAAGTTTGCTGAAATTAAATGTTTTGTCACGTTACAGAGAATATGCACAATTCATGAGAAACAAAAAATCCCTCCCTGAACGCTTTTTCCATTTTTAGACATTAATTTAATTTGTATTCCTATACAGTATACCTATAAGCATATGGTTGCATGCAGATAATTCACCATAAAAATCAGACTAACTTGATGTTCCTTTAGACTCACTGGCATTTTCCATGCATACCATTTTGTTTTTTCAGTGGATCTATATCTCACTAGAACATCAGGCAAAGAAAACACCTGCCAAAGTTTGTAAAATCTCTAAAATCCACACTCCAGAATGCTCAGGGCTTCCAAAAAGATAGAAGGACTGCTTCTAGTCAAAGTACCTGTCAGTGTGTAATCATAAATGCCCCCCTCCTTCTCTCTGGCTGTCTGCTGGACATGGAGCACATGTGGACTGGGTGTTCGCTAAGTGCAGGCTGGACACTGAGGCCCTATCCGAGGCCGGTCCCACTGGGAGCAGTCGGCAGTAGGCGGAGGGAAGCCGACGGGGAGGGTGTTCAGGGTTAATTGGCAGTGATTGGACAGGGTCATTTTCTGCCTAGTTAAACTCCTTCTCCCCAGGGATAGAGGACGCAGAGAGGCATGGTCCAGCTATGAAGGAGTGTGCGTGCGTGTTCTGTTTGTGTAACCCACATGTGTCTATGTAACTGCTTCCACAGTTCCCTGTTGGGGAATGTGCACATTTCTCTGCATGAGTATCGGAAGAGCTGATTTACGAAAATAGTAGTAAAAGGTTGTGTTATGATTTCTGATTGACATGTTTATTTTACACGTCTCTCAAACTAAACATTTTTTTTTGACCCTAACAGCAAGACGTTTGATTGACATGGGATCAAATGCGCCAGTGATCTGCATTCTCTCTGCAGTTTCATGTTTTATGAAATATCCATAAAGGGTCAATATTAAAAAATTCCCCGGCCAAACTCCAGTCTCGAAGCTGAGCCAACAATCTCGCAAATGGCGGGGAAGTAAACATGAACGCCAGCTTAAAGCCTAAGGGATTTCAGAAAAACGTAGCGGCGGCCCCAAAAATCCCAAGATGAAAAAGCCGAGACAGAACTCTCTTTATTTATACAGAGCAGTGCAGCAATAGCAGGAAGGTTATAGTACACTTTAATCAATGCATGGAATTAGATAGAAAAACTGTACCATTAATATCTGGAGTAGAATAGTTAGATTTGGAAAATGAATTAACTAACAGTCATAAAGAGTAACACAGGTGATGAAACACTAATGCAGGAAGTATCAACTTTACCAAACCGAGACTGTGACTTTACAGAACACAAATATAGCCCTATATTTACTAACCAAAACAACCAGTGAACCTACATGTGCCTTCTGAGTTTTGTTGATGATGGTAAATTGGTGGTCTGAAAAAAATATGTTTTCTTTGGCCACTATTTTGCTTTACAACACACTGCATGTACGTCTCTGCCATTAATTCAAAAGAATTGGCTTTAGACCAAAACTTTGTCTCAAAACTATCATGAAACAATGTCTCTAACATCAGAGAATTTATTTGTAAACACTACATGTAACAAATTTCATTGATTCAGACGTCTGGTTTGCATCACCACCTCTGTGAACAGTTCTGACTCTGCAGATTTCCTCAGAATGGCATGTTGCACATCAAACCACTCTGAATAATTTTTAAAATCCTAAAAATTTAATTATGCAGTCGTTTTACTCCACTTTAAGAAGCATGTACATAATGTACGCTGATCATGGAGAAATGTATGTTGGTGACTTGTCGTCATATTCAAAAAGTGCTGTAAGAGTTCTTTATTTCTCTTTTACATAGAAATGCGTTCAAGGAACAGTTCAGCAGTGTTCTGGCAGGGTGGGTCCAGTGGTGGCTACCAGACGCTGCTGCTAGACGAGGACCGGGGCTGGCTGTTGGTGGGAGGACGAGACCATGTGTATATGCTCCAGTCTGAGAGTCTTACCCAGCCCATGCGCAAGGTTAGAACACTATACTAAAACCATGACTGCAGTTTAACTACGGTCCTTTCTTTATATCACCATGGACTCTACTTAAAGACACCTGGACAGATGTTAGAAATGATGGTTGACAATGCATGTCTTCAGTCTTTGTAGTGACAATGTAAAGAGTTTAATACTGTTGATATTAAGGCATGGGAAATACGTTCGTACTGATTTGTTAGAGGTACAAAATGCTATGACCTTTATATTTACATGTTCATTTGTTTTTCTACATTATTGTGCCACATGCCTCCCAATTCATCATGACCATTATGATGTCCTGTGAGACTATCATGACTGGTATGATTGTAACAAATGACGTTAACAGTTCACCCACTGGTATAGCTGTGTGATGGTAAGCATGATTTAGAGCTTGCTATAGTGAGTACCATGTGTGACCTTCTGTCGCCACATACAACATACAGTCGTCTAATTGGCAGCAGTTCTCCAGGTCAGTACCTGCTAACAATTTCCTTTTCAAAAAGCCCATAATATGTGAAGTATGCATTGCAACTAGACGAGCTGCACTTATGAATGTTCAGTTATAAGGACCTGAGCTTATGGGTTCATAAATTAATATGATATAATTTCTTTTAATAATAGTCAGTTATTATAAATGTTGAATTGAGATTGAAATGGAGTTGGCAGTGCAGAGATGAGATCTACTGCTGGGATTCAGGTTTGATTCCGGTATGGTCATGGTCAGGTCAAATGTCTTTGAGAAGGTATTTGGCTGCTTTCTCATTGGGAAGGAAAAATAACAGTGCTCCTTTCTCTGTCATCATTAAGTGACATACCAGCCAGCTGAGTCATTGAATGACAGAGCCGGCCAATCACCATTTTCCAACAACTACTCTTAAGTGCACAATGCATCAGTGGCTATAACAATGCAGGCTTTGTTTAACAGACTGATTTAACCCCTAGAAGTCATAATTATTGACAGAAATAACAATCATGGTGTTAATCAATATTTAATATTTGTCACTTTTAGTTTATTGAAACAAGCAGGGAAATCCTGTGAGTAGTGCAACCATGTTTTTACTCTTGTAAATGTGGGTGAAAATAATCACATCATGATACATAAAAAGATTTTCACAATACAAGATACACTATATGGACGAAAGTGTTGGGGCACACCTCTTAATCTTTTAATTCAGGTGTTTCATTTAGTCCTATTGCCACAGGTGTATAAAATCAAGCACCTAGCCATGCAGTCTGCCTTTACAAACATTTGTGAAAGAGTGGGTCGTTCTAAAGAGTTCGCTGAATTCCAGTATGGTGCTGTAATAAGATGCCACCGCCAAAAATTCCCACAGACATACTCCAAAACCTTGTAGAATGCCTTCCCAGAAGAGTGAAAGCTATTACAGCTGCAAAGAGGGACCAACTCCATATTAATGCCTATGGATTTAGAATGGGATATCATTAAAGCTCCTGTAGGTGTCCCAATACTTTTGTCCATACTTGTATTAGTGGTTGCTGTCATGGATTTTGCACAAAAAGTCTTTAAAATGAATGTAAAGACTCTGAAAAGTATGTTGATATTTTGTAAGTGGATATAAATACATACAGTCTTTGGTAGTTCCTCAAGTTATCGCTTAATACTGAAACACTAGTCTGTTGCATCACCAAAGACGGATTGTAACCTTACTGCTGACACAACATTGCTCTGTACAAATGCACTGTTTTGTCTGTACATTGGAAAAACAGTCTCTGTCCCTCATTTTTAGATTCACTGGCCAGCTGGAAGGGAACATACTGAACGTTGCAGGCATGCAGGAAAGAATCTGTCGGTAAGTCATCGCAGCTTTAAAAGGCTGAAGAGGTCAAAGAGCCCAAAAAAGTTTTATTTTCAGTGCCAGATTTCATACATAGCTCAGCATTCTTCCACTCTGTGATATAAGCAAGACTGACAAAGGTTTATTTATTACTTTGGAGGGAAATTACTAGTTGAGAACTCTGTAGGGAGGTAAGTTCATGGTCTTTTTTCTTTGATTTGACTCCATGTGTGTCTCCATTGTAACAGCAGACATCAAAGTGTATGAGGTGATTTATGAGGTGATTTAAAGCTACCAGCAATGTTTTGCAGCCACCCTATTCTGTTCACTCATCTTAATTGGATCTTTTGTGTTGCTTTCTCAGACTGACTGTGCCAATTTTGTGAAGCTCCTGCAACCGTTCAACAAAACTCATGTGTATGTGTGTGGAACCGGGGCATACCACCCTCAGTGTACATACATTGACCTGGGCCACAGCATCGAGGTGAGAAAGCCACTCTCCCATAGGGACAAGCTGACTCTCTCTTTTTTCCTGCCTTTTATGACTACTGACAGTCTCTTGTCATTTCGCCTTTTATGGCTTATGACAGGCCCACAGGTGGCATGAAACAGACAACAGGGCATTAAAGGGCTGGTTTTAAGCATGTTACTTTGTCAATACGAACGTCAGGAGGGGTGTGGAGCACACTCAGGTCACCTACTGAGACGTATTGACCAAAAGGCTAAGATAACAATGAAGGCACTATATAGAGAGGCTTGTGTTAAGAGGGTGACATGACTGTCTCTGTATCCTAGGAACCTGCATTTACACTGCTGAGCCATGCTGTTGAGTCCGGGAGAGGGAAATGTCCCTTTAGTCCACACGAATCGTTTACCGCACGACTCACTGGTAAGCTTTCGCGCAAAATGAGAGAGTGAAGATATTGGACAAATATATTTAAAGGAACTACAATAGCAAAGATGAACAAGTATTGTTCTACAAAGCACAAAACCCTGACAGATACCCCATTGTGTATATACAGTGAAACCTTTTGTTTAATTATTTGTAGCTTAAAAAACCTGGAGATTTTCTTTTTTTTTTTTTTCAAAAATACATATTCTACAAGTAGACGAGAAGATATTTTATTAAAATTTGAAGTTGATTAAAAGTTGTTGTGTGTAAAGTTTTGTTTTGTGGTAAGAAAAGCAATCCTTCATGTGCTGTTTTTGTCATTGTTTCACATCAGAACAAGCAGAAAAATTTGGAAATGCAGGCTCCATTCTGTCCATACAGAATGTAATCACATTTAAGTAGCATAACAAAAATTCAATAATTACTTTTATCTTCTGAGAGTTAATTAAAAACTGCTGCAGCGAGCCCGTCTCCCTTTTCTAAATTGTCATTCACATCAATCTTAGCTCCCAAAGCATAACCTCACCTTGACTTTCCCCTCCTCAAACCAATTTATCAGACCTCCACTGTCAGACAAACTGAAGAAACCCATATGAAGATCATCTATTTATTAGATCTCCTCCCCAGTAAGATGTCACTGACAAATGAAACAGTGTAACTTGTGTGCAGCTGTGGCCAGTGTGGGAAGCTCTGTCCTCGGCTGACGCCTTCATTTGTCTAATGCCTCCTATGGCCTCTTATTTCATAGCTAATTGGAGGGACGAAAGCCACCCAACCAGCCATATAATCTCATGCCAATGTCAGGAAATGAAACCTAACCCCTACTTTTTTGTGCATTTTTTAAAAGTACATAACCTCACCCCAAGGACCACGGTACATAAACCATATGCTTTGCAATTAGACTGCTGTCTGCACTGCAGACTTCTGTTTTTCTGATTTAATCATGCACTGAGGGAGAGTCTGGAATACTCTAGAATATAGAATCATACAAGTTGCTGTAAATATGAATTGATTAAAGTTCCAGAGTTCAAAGAGAGGCTCATTAAGTTAGTGTTATGCATCACATGCTTATGAGACACTGAGTCCCACAGGTATTTTTCTTTATATTAGATGGAGACCTGTATGCAGGAACGTCAGTGGACTTCATGGGAAATAACGCAGCCATATTTCGCACCTCTGTGCACACCAGCAGTCAGCACTACATCCGTACTGAGGCTTACCATGACCACTGGCTCAATGGTAAGACATTCAGAAGCAGATATTTTTGCATTTTTCCTTATGTGGAACTGCATGTTGACGATTTTTTCATCATTATGATGCTCAGTCATTGTGTGAACATGGAAACAGGATTCATTCCAACATATTTTTCTGTGATGCTGTGCTATAAAGTTGTCTTCCTAAGACTCCTTTTCATACTTTCTTAATTCTTACAATTAACAGTATTTTCAAATGGTAATGAATACATGAAAACTATGAAATAACACATATGCATGTACTGTATCCTGAAATATTGGCCTTCTACCAAATTAAGATATTTAAACCTGCTCTCTTCACATCTCAAATGATTGGTACATTTGAGTACATTAGTACATTATAAGGACACAAAGTACACACAATAATTAGGATGATGTAATGATTATGGCTTATAAATTTTCCAAATCTAAAATTATTGTACATTTAAAACAAAAACTACTTGTTGAGGGTCATTAAAAAATGATACATTTTTGTTTTTTAAATAAATGAATTCATGCATGTGTGTAACATCACTATTTCTTAAGGTATTTAGGCATAAACCCTTGGATCAAACTGTTTTAACATCATAAAAAAATATGCATTCATTCAGATATATCTAAACATTTCACTGGTAACATTTTTTTTGACTCAAATGGCATTTAGTTTTCTGGGAATGGAAATGTATGTAAAGTTAATAACAAACAATGACATGACTCAATGATCACACAGCAGCACACCTGCCTTCCTTCACTTAACTGATTCCTTATTTCCTTCCCAGAGCCAGAGTTCGTGGACTCTTACTCCATCCCAGACACGCACAGCCTGGACGATGACAAAGTCTACTTCTTTTTCAAGGAAACGGCTGTGGAGTCCAACCAGCTGGACAAGCGCGTCTATAGCCGAGTGGCCAGAGTTTGCAAGGTGAGCTGGCTGGCACGGAGGATAATTGGCCAATGAAAAGGAAAAGTGATCCAAGAGACCTTAGGCTGAATGAATGTGGCTTTTATGCATGTCAGTGAATACTGGGCACAGAAATTATGCGTAAGCCTGTGTAATATCAATTACAAAGTATTAGTAGTATTATTTATCTAATAAGGAATGAATAAGGTGTTTGTTAGCAGAGAATGAGCTTATTCTGGCCATAGCTTTTATATTGCATATTGTGTGTTATATTTTAGCACTAAATTAGCTTGTGTTTTAATATTTTAGTGCCATGTTCTGGGCTCTAACTTCACATACTTCACATACATACATAAAACATAAAACAAAGGTTGTTAAAATAAATAATGTAAGAAATATATCTCACAAACGCCTAATATCCTTTATTTTACTGTTTTGTGCTCCAGCTTAGGAGTGCAGGACATCACATGTTTTGCCTAATGAAGTCCAGTGTAGCACATTATTAAGATCATGTTCTTAGGAGCTTTGCCAACCCTTTGAAATGGTTTTAATTAAAACTGTCAGCAAGCCCTTGCTGCTGTAAACTCAGTGGAACAGTTGATCCAGCTCCATCCATATGCTTTGGGAGTACCGTGCTATCAGTAGCCTTTAGTGAAATCTTGAAGTTTTTATGTCTATTGCTGTGTTTTACATCACATAGCTTTCTTCACCTTGTCCTTTTGAGTGATGACTTTTTATTGCAGCTGTGTACCTCATGCTATTAAACTGTGCTTGCAAAGCTTGCAGTGCACTATTACAATAATAAATCATAGTTTAGTGTCAATTATTGTAGTCATTTTGCTGTACATTCAATTTAGATTGCATAAGTTTTTGAATTGATACATAGGTAGCGACATTCAGTTTACTGTTTGCAGAGATTAGAGTTTGCTCTTTTGATTTTTTCCCTTTTTAGTGTCAAAAAATGACAAAAACATGGACAAATGTATTTTTTACCACAATTAAAAGCTGTTCAGCAAATTCAGATCATAATAAAATATCTTCTTTTGTGCTTACGAACACAAATGTGGTTTAAAGAGCTGTGAATGAGAATTCAATAATATTATACTATTACATTCAAATTAGAACATTTTGTTATGAAAGCTGTGACTTCTAAGGGTTAGAGCACAAGTACATACCCTTGGTAACATAAAATATTAAATAAATAAAAATGAAATAAATAAAAATTCATAACTGACTTCTGATGTGACATTTTTCAGCTAATTCAGTCTGGTATTTGAAAAACACCATTTTGACATGACATTTTAACAGATGGCTTAAAACCATTTCAAGCTGTTAGAAATGCCAAAGAGTTTTTCAGTTCACTTTCTGAGAATGTCAGCCCAATGGGATGTGGCTTGGGACTTTTTCACCCTGTGCAGAAAGTCTCCTAGGGAACATGTTGCATGATTTGAGCATGATTTAAGAGACTATTAATACCCAGTTTGATCATTAAAATTCAGTAAAAATGTGCTCACCAAAAAGAAAAGCATTTTACTGTTCTCATAATATATCATAGAACTTGTCAGTTGATCCTGTTGATCTGTTTTTTTTCAGAATGACATTGGTGGGAAGAGGAGTCTGATTAATCGTTGGAGCACCTTCCTAAAGGCTAGACTGGTGTGTTCAGTGGCAGGGCCAGGAGGCATGGACACACACTTCGATGAGCTGGGTATGCACACATTCACATACTCGTACAAAAAGGGGGTTTTAAAGGGTTATCAGGGGAGTAGTGACTTTCTGTATTTATACATGACAACCTCTCTTACCTACTCAGTAGACACAGATGACTCTTTGTAGACCCATAAACTGCATTATTATATGATGGTATTGGTTGTGTGTTTTTAGAGGACATCTTCCTGTTGGAGACCAAAGACTCACAGAATCCAGTCATTTATGGAGTCTTCTCAACTTCCAGGTAAGAAAAACCCTGACATAGGAATTTGATTTTTATTATTATATATCGTCTCTGTCTGAACAACACCTTGTATCTCCAAAATGGGAAAAACTTTCTTAACTTCAAATGGAATTTAGTTTAAGTTTTGTTTTTTTTTTTAAGTAATTTTAGTTCATTCCTTTGGGCCATTTGTCATGAAAATGAAACAATGCTGTTTTTAAATTATGCAAAAAAGTAAAAAATTATGAAAATGGTGATAGAAAGTTATTGCATGACAGCAATGATATGTTATTTTATTACAGAGCCCTGACATTATTCAAATTTGAATTAATAATAACTGAAGGTAACATATTACTCAAAAGTACACTGAAATAAATTCCTTTTAGACTTTAGCATTGTTTTGGATAGAGCTGAAAGATTGTAATCGTTAAGAAGTGCTTTCAAATCACAAGAGCTGCAATTTTAAATACAGCCTATATTAGCAACAGTTTTTAGGTGGAGAAATTTAACCTAATAACATGGAGCTTGTGAACTGCCTGTAGAGGAGTTTGACCAGTCATCACCAACCCTCCTCCAGGAGATCTACTTTACTAGAGAGTTTTCTTCCAACCTATATCTAACATGCTGCCTCCACTTACCTAACACTTATGCATCTAATCCAATCAGAGAGCTCTGTGGAAGTTAATTAGCTGGAACAGGACCAGCGTTGGTGACCATGGAGTTTGACCAGTCAAAAGCAACCAAACACCCATGTACATTATGTATAGAAAATAATCTCAATAATTAAGCCCCAGGCTTGGGTCATGGTTTCCAGAATTGTTGCCTTGTGTTGGATGTTAGAAGAAGGAGCTCTGTCTTAGTCACAGTTAGGAACTGAATGTAATACACATAATTGTTAGTGACAGTGTTTGCCTGGTGACTTTATATCTGTCTGATTTCACTTTGATGGATATATTGTTGCTTGGAAACCATGGCTAAGAAACTTTTAAAACATTGTGACGCTTTTGGGAAAATGAAGTCTTGCCCTAAATCATAGCTGGGATTTACTTAATTTGATTAACTCTCTTTGTCCCGTCAACTGACATCAGTGCTTATACACCCTCAAAGACAACAGTCTGGTCGCACAGTTTTTTCTTCTTCTCCTGACTCTTCCAGAACAATCCATCTTGGTTGTCTCGTCTCTCATCCAGGAGAGAGGAGGTCCAGAGGCCATTCAGGAAGGGTCAGAGGTGACCAGGCTAAAGGAATGGTGTTATTCTAACCCAGCAGCAGGCTAACACTCACTTCCCCTTTTTCTCCTGTTTCAAAAGCTCCGTCTTCAGAGGCTCGGCCGTTTGTGTCTACTCCATGGCGTCCATTCGAGCTGCCTTCAATGGGCCCTTTGCTCACAAAGAGGGCCCCGACTACCGCTGGGTGGAGTACAAAGGGAGGATCCCATATCCACGGCCTGGAACTGTGAGTGCTCTACACTGTGATATTCTGTGTGTGAAGGAGGGAGGAGGCAATAGCAGCGGGAGGCTAATTAGAGACATAACTGTGGTAGTAGCTGTCTTTTCAGATTTCTGGTTGACAGTTTTAAGTCTATGCACTCAATTCAAATCATGTGTAGCCCCATTCACTCCCACCACCACACTACTAAAACCCAAAGACCTGGCATAAAACCACAGTTCATGATATTGTAACTAGGCCTGTCACTATTATTTCTACCAGTAATCTACCAATTATTTTACAAATTTATCAAGCTGTTTTTGTGTTCTTTAATTAAGCAACAGAACACTCAAGGCATATTGTGAGTGCAAAATGCAAAATAATTTCCATGCAACTTGAGAGCTACACAAATCAGTTTAAAAATGAAGTTGCATGCAACACATTCAGTTACTGCACTAGTTAGACAAATCAGCAGCTCATATTTTTTCATACACTCTATTATTCTCACTACAAAGTTATCTGCGTTTTTACCATTTTTCATACTTTATCCAGTTGTCATTGGCGTTCTATTTTTCTGTATCTATATATCCTGTATCTATATAGAATCTATAGAGATATTAGAGGCTTAACAATAAAAATGTAATTAACTGAAGAATAACAAAGTAAGCATAGCTCACTAAACATTACATAATGTCTTTATACAACATACCACCTAATCAAAGGCAAATCATTGAGCAGGTCGATTTTTCATTTTAATCAGTGATTGTCATCGAGAAAATAAATTTAACTTACACTAACTCAACTGACTTACATTTAACCTTGGGTGACTTTTAATGGAAAGTATATTTTCTTTGCAATATTAGCATAGACATAGAGCCCATATGAACTTGGTGGTCCAGTATATGTTGGGCAGCGGTCATAACCCTTGTAACCATCACTCCTCCCCTGGGCTGCACTCCCTCGTGGGGATCATAAAAGCATCCATGAGTGCTTTCAGGGTCATGCTTTAGGGCATTTGTTGAAGTGGCAGAGGTGTGTGCTGTTAGCGGTGAGTTCCCTGAGGGGGGAAAAACTTGGCCAGGGTGTTGCCTCTTTGGATTTGCTTGATTAATTCTCTGGGTCAACATCATACATTTCTCTGAGTCTGCAATTAAACCTTTTTTAAATTAGAGGTTTTGTGACTCTGCACAGACTCACAGCACATATGGTGTAATAACCGGATTTCTGAAAAGGAAATGAAGCTAATTTAGTTATTTCCCAGATATTTGTAATGCTGACACTTTCCAGTGCTTGAACATGGGCCTCCACTTTTTTAGTGTGCTCCAGATTTCCGTGATTAAATTCTTGGCAGCTAACAAAAATTCTTAATTGTAAATTGCATGAAGTCTATCACAGAATTGAACTATAGTAAATGCTTGCTCTTAGTTTGATGCACTGCCATTTTTCCCTGGTTATAGAATGTATTAGTTTTACTACCAAACTTTGTACTTTCTCCTTGGGACCTTGCTTTTCTATGGACTTATAGTGTTTTTTTGGAAAATATCTCCTCAGAACAGTACAAATAACTTTCCTTTTGTGTCCCTTCAGTGTCCCAGTGAGACGTACGATCCACTCCACAAGTCTACCCGTGACTTTCCCGATGACGTGGTGAGCTTCATGAGAGGGCACCAGTTGATGTGGGAGCCAGTGGTTCCCATCCACCGACGGCCAGTGTTCACCCACGTCAATGTCCCCTACAGGCTGAAGAAGCTGGTGGTGGACAGAGTGGAGGCAGAGGATGGCCAATATGATGTATTGCACTTGGGTACAGGTATGTTAGAGAAGTTCAGATTGCACTTCCCCACTGGGAACCTTTATTTTAAGCTTAAAGAGGCAAGACAGTTCTGAGGTCAGCTGTAGAGGAGGAAGACCCACATTATTCAAAATGGAAACTACAGCCAGTGAATAAATGGGCACCAATTGCACCCATAACCAATGAACCTGCATTCCCTCACTGTATCTCATTGTAAAATAGAGGGTCCCGGAATACACTGTGGTTTTACTTAGGGATTGGCAAGGGAATTAGATGCAGATGAGGCAATCTATATTTTTGTACAAAGCCCAGTAATGACATTACCATTCACCCTTTACATGGCATGCACTTGTAAGAAAGCGATGTCTACCAGCTCCAGATGTAATGGCAATGATTGTCTTAAAGGATCCTGCTTAGGATCTTATTGGCACTGTAGGATTTTTCCACAATAAAACACTTTTGTAAATGTTGACAAAGATTGAAAATCCAATTTGGTCCCTTTTTTTAAATCATACACATTTCCATCGTAATGCTTTTCATTAGTGTTATTAAAGGAAAAACTGAGGGACCTCCAAAACAGGCAGAAGTTGCTTTTTTTATAGCTACTGTGAAAGAGGTTCTAATTTTAGGCTACATAAGCTGCATCTGCTTTTTATGCATGCTGTATTCTGTGATTTCTGCCATGTCTAAGTGAATTATTTAGGGTAAATTCAACCTCCAGGAGCAAATACACTTTACCTCTGTGTGCAGAGGGCATTCTTACATACTAAACACAACCTGGTGTCACCACGGCTGGTAGTTCAAAGAGAGTGTAACAGCTGTTAGCCATCTGGGAGTCATGTTGATCCTCATTTGAGCTCTGTGTTATTTTTTGTTATTAGGTGTTTTTACTTCTGTGAGAGATGGGAGTGTGGGAGATATTTCAAAACAGTTATAGGAACCTGAGGGAAACGGTAGAATTAAATTCAGTATTAAGACTAGAGTATAAGGAGGGTGGATAGGGTGAATGGTAATGTGACTGTAGTTATATTTCATCTTGAAACATGCTTTCAGGCAAGTTTTATAATTGCTAATAATAATAATTTTATCACAGAAAAAAGGCCACAAATGTACACTGAAAAATGTTGATTTTCTAAACCTAAAACCTGCATGTGATAGATTGAGGTAATGCTTGGTTTTACTGTGTAATCATTATGCCCTGGTCCTTAAACATCTGTGTTGTGCTGTTACCTGATACCTGTATCTGTCTCTAGATGACGGGAAAGTACTGAAGGTGGTGTCCATCCCCAAGGAGAATTTGGAAACTGAGGAAATCATACTGGAAGAGCTAGATGTGTTTCAGGTAACTTAGTATGGCCATACTTTTGTTACGCTGAACCTGATAGCGAAGTTTTTCTCAAGTGTCTTCATGCTATCTGTTGTCCTGCCACATGATCTTTGGCCACAGGCTTTGGTTGTTGGTAGTTTCCATGTGAGAGCACAGCTTCCTCAGCAGAAATAACCTCTTAAAAGGAAAAACAGATTGTTTACATATTTCCCAGGGCTCTTCACGCGACTGACCAAACCCAGGGAACAGGAGTAAGGGGCTGGCGGTTGGGCAACAAGCGAGTAGAGGGGATCCTCTTTATTTACGTAGCCTGAGAAGTACAGAGATCATTCGTTCAAGCTTTTAAACAGCGCGCAACATGTTAGTTTTCCCCTGGGGACATGAAACGGGAAGTAAATGAGGACAAATGATCTGGGTTAATATGAGATGCCAAGGAGATGTCCAGTGGAGTAGATGAGCTGCAGACTTTTCACAAGACCAGTGGTGAGAGTGAAAAGCATCTTAACACAAAGATCATTGTAAGATGATGAAAATCATGTTGAATGCTCTCTCTAACCCCTAACACCATGATGCGTTTGGAAGCTGTGCCCAGAAACTTAAGGAAGAAGTGGATGTTTCAGCAGAATTGATCTGTCTTTGCCTTTCTTCTTGAAATCCAAATAAACTAACTTATTTATGCTCTGCCCAAAAATCCACTGATTTTTTTTCAAATGCAAAACTTTTGTGTGAGGTTGGTTTTATAGAACATTGAAAAAAATGCATTAAACCTCAAAATTGGGGAGCACAACTTTTGCTAAAAAACCTAAATTTTCACTTTGGACTATAGCTGCATTTATTTACAATTGCCACATCCAGTTGCTATAACTAATCAAAACTAGGCATTTTTGAAAAAACAACATAGAATTTGCTTTGAAATGTAGTTATTTTAACAAAAACGTATGTGGACGCCACAATTTCTCATTAGGTTGAGTGGGATTATTGCCAGTGTTCTGTTAAGGTTGACCTATCTGCTAAAAGGAGCTATGAAAGAACATATTTTTGGGCAGAACATGGATAGATCAACTGAAATAAAGTAGCTTGTAATGTTTCTGTAAGATTTAGACCCTCACTCGCAAACACAGTTGGGACACATAACTATCTAAGCACCTTTCATTCATTCAAGCCCCCAGATTGCTAATATAAAGAATGAATCGGCGTGTCTTACAACAAAAACTGCTCTTCGCCATCACTGCTGCCTCTGGCTCTTATGCCTCTGGCACTGGAGACATATGATAGTAGTCTATCAGTCACCACCCACCCCAAGCCATTTGTAAAAGAGAGAGTTGTTTTAGGAGTCAAGGACCATTTGCCACCACTGTTATAGAGAAGAAATGAACCAATGAGCCGGAAAAGCCTGGCCCTCGCACAAGAGCCTAAGATGAGCTCCTCTTGTTCGGTGCCAGCAATGCGTGTCCCCCCTCACCTACTCCCTGATTTGGTAGGTGATTTATGTGGCCATTTTAATGTGTGCTGACACTTTGTTTTCTTCTTTTCATCCCATAGAGCCCCATACTAAGCATGGAGCTGTCCACCAAGCGGGTATGTAGGCTTGTTCTGTGGGTGGTCATTTGAAGGTAGTGCTTAGCAGTGTTTAAAGACTTCCTATCTGGGAGATTAGGGGCAATGGAAAAAGCTTTAGATAGATAGAGGCTTGGTCTCCTTCAGTGAAACATAACTGTTCTTTAGGCCAATATTTTATAGCTTTTATTAGAGTTGTTCAGTAGTAACTGTGAACTATTGTTCTAAATTTGCACTGCAGTTAACAGACATGTAACTGTATTTTAATTTATATTAGTTTATACATCTAAATGAATATAGTGTTAAATGGTTCTAGACTTGTATCTTGATAAAGACTTTAAAGTTCCACTGAGATGAACTAGCACTGTCAGAAATCTTCTTTTGGTGATTTTAAAAGCCAATAATATTTGGTCACAAAAGATTATAATATAGAAATAAAGTGGAATTAATAGTTTAAAAATTAATTCTGTCTTTTTGTTATTTATTTATTTTAGCAAGTGCTGTTTGTGAGCAGTGATAAGGAGGTGGCTCAGTTGCCTCTGCAGCGGTGTGAACTCTATGGGAAGGCATGTGCAGACTGCTGCCTGGCTAGAGACCCTTACTGCGCCTGGAACGGCACCACTTGTAGCAGCTATTTCGCCCAGTAACAAGAGGTACAGTGGAATATCATTACCTTTTATAGACATATGGTATTTGTTTCACTGTTATGTGACATTTCCAGTGTGCGCCCAATAAGACATTTGTCAGTGTTTATGAACATTTACATTGTGCAATATGTTATGTTGTATGCAGCGTTCAGTCGGTTATTTTTTTATTTCTGAAGAGTGTGTATGCTGAAATTCTGCCTTAGGCAAACATCTCTGCTTCTTGCGTCATACCCTCATAATCTCCTGTGCAGTATGTTCAGTTGAATATATTTTGTTTATATGCAGCTGTTTACTGTTGCACATAAACAAGATGGAAAACTGCCAGTTTCTCTGTAAGGGACGTAAGAGGTTGCGGTATACCACTGTTTTACATGGATGTGATGCTCCAGGCAGTAGGAGCTGTAGTTATGATTAAGTAAACCACAGTGACCTCAAATAACCCAATAAAACTACAAGAAGCCTGGTCTGTGCCAATAGTCTTAATGGAAGCAACCCTAAATGCAAAGTTAAATTTGGATTTATGTTACTTTCCCATGCTTTCTGTTAGCGAATGCTTATATTCCTGGTAAAGAGTTGAACCAAACAACACAGGAACTAACAACACAGTCGTCTTGAATCAACACAAGTTGACTGTATGTGTTTTGATAACCTGCGTGATTAGAAAACTATGACTGCTTAATAAAGATGTGTAAACAGGCACATGATTATATGTTACATTATTGTAGATTTTTTTCTTTCTTTATACACAGTAGAGTGCAAAAGCCACCCTTCATTTATTTAATTTCCCCTTAAAGCATCCATTAAGTAAAAGTGATTTATTTTTCATTAGATATTTTTAAAGAGATTAGATATATTTTACTTGCACAAGGAAGGGAAAATAAGTAGAAAAACAGGAGTTTCCGAAACTAGAGTTCCAAAAATTAGTAAAGGGTACTGTGTAAATGGCGATTTCGGACACTCATGCAACAGGTGTTTCTGTTTATTCTTCCACTGTGAGAAGAAAACTCAACACTATGGGTCAGAAAAGGAGAAGCCCTCACTGAGAAAAGGAAATAAAAAAGAAAAAAAAAAAATTAAAAGAGTTGTTGTTCTCAAGACAATGGTCCGGAAAAATACCCCTGCAGATTTCTTTAAAAAACTGAAAGCAAGTCTCCTGAAAACAATAAAAGTTGTAATAAAGGTAACAGAGTGGACACACTAAATACTTTAAAAAATTGTGTTATATTTAGTTGTTGAGGTTTCTTTCTAATTTTTTACCTTAATACATGCGTTCTGCTTTTTCTGTCACTGAACTTGTACTTAATAGCGGTTTAGACTAGAAATTAAACAAATGAATGGTGGTCTCTGACATTTGATATGGGTGGGGACCCATACATGTTTTTTCTTACACTTCAAAAATTGCTTGCTGTTAAAATAATAAATACATTCATTGTGAAGAACCATCTGACAGACTTGCGATTCCGTTGTGCAGGCGCGCCCGGAGACAGGATGTGAGGTATGGGGATCCCTGGAGCCAGTGTCAAGATCTAGCAGATGGTAATAAATCTTAACACCCTCCTCTAAACTCACGCATGTGACTCACTGCCTTTTACCAACATAGAATCACCCTATATATCCCTATAAGCTGTACACATCGCCCTCTAGGGGTTGAAATTTATTATTAACTTTTCCTTTTATGGACAGTGGAAACAGATCTCGCAAAGTATGTTCAGCACGGGTTCCTGACTAAGTTTCAGCTTTACAAAACCTAACAAATGCAACCGCATGTTTAGTTTCTTATGTAAAGGAGTGATTTTTATAATGACAAGCCAATCATGATACATGGGTTGCATGATACGTATGTTTTTTCAAAGATGGAACTACAAAACCACGAAAAAGTGTTGAAAGTAAAGCATTTACAATGGTAAAAAGCTGTTGCCACTGCCACCATGTCAGGGCTTATTGGAATAACAATTGCATTATATTCTTGATATCTATGTCTCCTGTGCCAAATAATGATATTTTTCTTGTAACTGACACCACAGGTGCCATTAAGAAAAAACAAGTGAGCCAAAAAAAAACTTAAAGCTGTCCTATTTGGTCAGACGTTCACCCTGATAGGTCAAAATGCTGTTTATGGTTCGAAATCCTAAACCTAACCTGCCTCAGAGCAGGTTGCCATAGTGATGTTGCCCAGTAAAAAGTGATCTTTTGTCGTAAGACAGGCCCCTGCTGTTATCCTCGTGCCTGTTTTATCTTGTTTATGAACCCAGAAGTTTTGAAAAGGTCATTACATCTAAGCCTTTGATTGGTCTCATAATAATAATAATATATCTGGTTCTGAAATTCTTTTTAGGCTTTGAGGACATTGAGCTGAAGATGATTTATGCAGTCGAGAGCAACTCAACTTTCTTGGAGTGCATGCCACGATCACCACAGGCAACGATCAAATGGGTCATGCAGCAGAGCCACACTCAGACCACTAGGGAGGTCAGTCCCCTCAACACACAAAAATCAGACAGCATACATGTGCTGAATATCGCCTCATAATGAATACCATGTGAATGCAACACAGACTAATGATGCAATGTTATGAAAATGTTAATTTGCATATCTTTTCCTGCTGACATCAATTTCAGTTCCATTCTTAAATTCAATCATACAAACAATACTTAATGAAATATGTTCAGCAACTTGTGAAATGCTGTGAAAATATGTTCTTATAATAAATTCTGCAGAGCAGTGTGTTCAAAATACATTTCAAATGCATTATAGTATCCATTAATTAACCAGTACATTGTTAATATATATAGTATTTTGTGATTTTATGTTGTGTTCAGTCCTTATCAACTTATAATTTAGAAAACTGTCATGTACTGACTCGGAATTTGTTTGAGTTTACCTCTACCATTCATGCCATTGCCAGGTCTAGTGCAAATTCATAGTGGTAAAATTGGAAATTCATGAGTTTGTGATAACTGAACACATCATTGCCTCAGTGCTCACTGCAAAGTGCTCTTTCTCTCTCTCTCTCTCTCTCTCTCTCTCTCTCTCTCTCTCTCTCTCTCTCTCTCTCTCCCTCTCTGTGTCTCGCAGCTTCTCCCTGGTGAAGATAACGTCATTCACACCCGCCGTGGTCTCCTCCTGCAGCACATCACCTCTTTGGATGCTGGTCTCTACCTGTGCACGGCACACGAGCGGTTATTCTCCCGCATGCTGGCGCGCTACGAGCTGCGAGTCATCAATGAACCGCACGCACTGGCCTCCAGGCCGGCCACTAACCATGCGCCGTTGCCGCTGAGCTTGAAGGAGCTGAACCTGATCGGTGTCGGTGGGCTCACAGCGGATGAGTACTGCGAGCAGCTGTGGTATCGTGAGAAACGAAGGCAGCAGAAACTGCGCACACTGAAGTGGAAGCAAACATCAGAAAACCGCAAGGCGCGAGTCCGGCGGCAAAATCCACCATATGAGCCGCTTAAGTGAAGGTGGAGTAATAGACTTTGGAGGGGAGTAGAAGGACATTTGTATTTGCCTTGGTTGATCAGTGTGTTTCAGGATTAGCCACTTTCGCTTTGTTACTGCTTATAAAGGCCACATTAATCCGAGTTGTAAAGAAAACAATATTATCGATATTCTGCTCTTTTAAAAAAGCCTGATCCTGGTAGGTTGCCAAAAATGGGTTAGTATTCAGACCGGAATATTGACCTTTCTTACCACTAATCATGTGTAGTAGTATATTTTCTATATAATAGAAAAGATTACGTGAAAGTTTGCACTGTCCACTGAAGACTCACATCTTGCTGAACACAATGCTCATTTTGCTCCATTGATGATTGTGAAGCAAGCGTAAGATGAATAAGATTAAAATAGTACACTTAACCACACTGTGGAACTCGCCCTTGGTATTGTCCCGATGACAGATGTTAGGATTAAGTCAGATATTGTACCACACCTGTTATAGTGCTCCATGGGCCAGTTTATTTCTGGATAGCGTCAGTTGGACTTAACACAGTTCGGGAGAAAGTGGACTAATTCTATTGGTAATTATATTTAGAATATGTTTGCGCTTTTATTAATTTCCTGATGAGGAGCAATCAGTAAATGCAGTCAGTATGTGTTCTCAATTAGTGCAAAAAAGTGCAAGCTTTCAAGGGCTTTGGCTTTGAGCTAACTCTGTGCAATATCCTTTTCTGCTAAATTTTTCACCAGGCTGGTGGCACCCAGTCAGATTTCTCTATAATTATGCCCATTTTTACTTCATGAGGGGCATATTATCTGACCAAGGCAGAAGGAACTGAGTGACTGTGCAGTGTAAAGTTCAAGGGGGTAAGTTCGTTCCACTGAGGCGCAACAATTTGCAGCAGGATATATTTATGATTAATAACTCTACAATTGACATCAGTTACTAGTGGAGGGAGTGTCATGCCCTGAAAGCATCAACTTCTTTGAGTGAGTAAACAATCAAATGACATTGTCCTATTTTTATTTATTAAAATTAATTTTTGAAATAATTTGGATCTTAGTTATGCCACTGTAGCAGAGTGTAATAATGAAAACTTTTATCCCAAAGGTGTGGATAATGGGCAGATGTTGTTTCCACACTTTTGGCACTTGCGTTTATTGGTTACTGTTCATCGTAATATTGGGAATGGGGCAGATTTGGACAAGGATGCGTACCACTTTCTTTTGGAGTTTGTTAAGTGTAACTGAACACTACCCAGAAAGCAAGACACCAGGGTTGAGAACTACTGCACTAACTTCAGCTCTGACCAGGTAACAATGCACTCAGCTAATCCTGAAACTAAACGGCTATCGACCAGGCTGCTCAAAACAAGCCAGCGTGCAAATATGAACTGACTTGTTTGTTCTTGCTAGGCATGTAGAGTTTATAGTACACGGATTTGTATACCAGTCTACAATGGACTTTTCATAACACAACATAAACAGAGTTTTGTGTAATCATCTGAGAGAACAACTTGGACATTGTTCTGACAACAGCAGGTGCCTCTGAAACAGAGTGGAGGAAGCTCAGCATGCTTCTTACGCAACCCAGGATGTTCTATTCATCTCTTTCCTTCCTTTCCAGGCACAGTGTCTTTCTCTTTCCTGAGAACAAGCAACTCTGGATCATGTTTGTGAGAAGAAGAAGAAAAAAAATCTTCACTCAGAGCTAATCTGCCTGAGTATGATCTCGGGGACCAGTTAGCACAGTGTCATTTTTATGATGCTTTCTGATCCTTAGTAGTTTTCATTCATCAGCTACGCTGGCATTTGTGAGGGGGGATGTATTCCTTTAAGCCCCTCACTCATTTTCTGACAATCACTGATCTTAGTGCAGTTTGCTGGGAAAGGATGTGCCACTCAGCTGTGAGGAGCGAGCTTGCACAGAAGGAATATCAAAGCGTGGAAGCATCTGGGAGAAATGAGCATGCAGTAAATTGGATGGAGTCTTTCATATTCCTCTCGGTGCCCATGAAGACGGCTTCCAGGGCCCTCAGGATAACTGGGCCACTGCAAATGGAAATCTTTGTCTGCTCATCGTGACAGGCTGAAACGAAAAGTTTTGAGTAACATGGTCTGATATTTGGAAAAGTGTTACAAAGAATATGGGTGGCTTTATCAAAGGCACACTGAAGGGGAATTCCACCTTTTTTTTCAAAATTTCTACATAATTAAATGGTTGAGATGTAAACAAAGTGATTCAGAGTAGTTTGGTGTGAAGTGCTCCGTTCTAGAGAAACTTGGAGTCAGAATTGTTCACAGTGGTGATAGGAACCTAACATCCACCTCTAAAAGCTTCCTACACAGAAAGTTATTACATGAAATGCTTATGAATTCGCTGCCTGATGTCTGAGACACCGTTTCACAAAGTTTTGCTCTGAAACGTCTTATTAATTCATTCATTTTAATCCATTCCTGGCGGAGGGATATATTCATGTACAAAATAGTCCCCAAAGAAAATTTATTTTTTCAGATGTTCCACTATTTTACCATCTTCAACTTTACATATAAACTCGGAAGACACTTGAAGGTTCACTGACTATTTGAATAGTAAATAAAATGGCTATATTTGTGTTGTGGACATGGCGACCCCTGGTTCCTATCACCACCACTGTAAGGAAACTTTCTCTACATTGAACCATTTCATATCAAACCACTTTAAATGACTTTGTTTACATCGCAACAATGAAATCATGCAGAATTAAAAATTGGTGGAGTTCCCCTTTCAGGCACATAGTGCCTAAGCAGAAGACTATAATGGATTAGGAAGGTCAGATTCTGTATAATGTATGGTGACTGAAGTGAGACTCAAATAACCAGCAATATACTGTATGATTAAATATTTGTTCTGAACAGTATTTAACCACATCTTTCATTTTACATTCCAAAGGTTTTACTTTGCGCACAATAACAGTTATTATAAAGGTGTTCTTGGTTTCTACAGTGTAAAGAGTTTCTATTTAATAACATATTACTCAAGCAGTACACATTTGCTGTGTTAATGTCCATCATTCTGTGTTATTTTATTTATCGTAACAATGAAGGCGATGTACATGTGTTACATCTAAGTTAAGAGTCGACCAAACAGGTAGTGTTGAGCAATAAGAGCGAAGTGCTTCATAACAATAAGCTAAAAAAGACACAGGATGTTTTGAGCAGCTGTAAATGCAGCTGGTCATTTCCATCTACATTTCATATTCATATTTTGTTTGTCCTGCTAACACGTACATCTGCTGTGTTGCGTTAATGTTATTCAACAAACTGCTGTGTAGCCAGTTCTTTCATTCAGCTACAATATCTGTCAGTAACCCTATTGAAAAAGACAGTGCTGTAATGTGTCTATTCTTTCACTGTATTTAAGCAATTTATTTGTATTAACAGTATTATTAACGGTTTATATTTTTCTTTGCCACTCTGTCTGTGTTCATTCTGGCGTACTTCAGCTTGATCAGACATGTCTTAGATTGGGAATTAGACATTTGCCTCTTTTTGTACAGCGCTTTAAAAATCTTTAAGTGGTTCTGTGTAAACCAGTAAGGGGGTGAAATCTATTAAACTACTTTTCCTCATTTTGTTGTTTCCTTTACCCGTAATTGTGCCCAGCTTTGGTTATAGACCAGTTATATGGCATATGGCAAAAATTAATGGACAGATTGACAGGTCTTAAAAAGATGGTTCTCTAAGGGTCCTTTAGTTAAAAACAATGGTTCTGTATAGAACCATGAACACTTTGCATGCTTAAATGGTTCTTTGCCTTTTCATGATGGTTTTTCAGATTGATGGAGAACGTGTTGTAGACAGTTCTATATAGTAACTTTTTGAAAATAGTTCTATAAAGCACAAAAAAAGGGTTCTTCTGTTGTTATGATGTCAGGCTTATGACAATAGAAGAACACTTTTGGTGTTATAACCCTTTTCAAAAAGGTCCTGTATAGAACCATCTACAACATATTCTCCGTCAATCTGAAGAACATTTCATGATGCAAAGAACACTTCAATCATGCAGATGGTTTTTGAATGTTCATGGTTCTATATAGAACCATTTTCTTTACAAAAGAACCTTTGAAGAACCATGAATTTTAAGTGCGTAGATGTAAAAGAACCCTTTTTAGTGTCTATATAGAACACCTTTCAAAAAGGTTCTATAAAGAACCATATTCAACACATTCTCCATCAATCTGAAGAACCATTTCATGATGCAAAGAACCCTTTCTGCATACAAAGAGTTCTTTAAGTGTTCATGGTTCTATGTAGAACCATTGTCTTTACTAAAGAACCCCTGAAGAACATTTTTTTGTGCATGTAACAGTAGAAGAACCTTTTTGGTGCTATATAGAACCATTTTCACAAAGGTTCTATATAAAGCCATATACAACACATTCTCCATCAATCTGAAGAACCACTTCACAATGCAAAGAACCCATTAGTCATGCAAACGGATATTTGAGTTTTCATGGTTCTGTATAGGACTGTTGTCTTTCCTAAAGAACCCTTGAAGAAGCATCTTTTTTAAGAGAGTATAACTTAAGAGCGGTATAACTTCAATAGCCTCCAATAGTCCTCTGTATATCCATCTTAGCTCAACGGCGCTCCCTGCTGGCTGTTTTGTTCTCAGCGTTTTCAGTGTTCAGCTCTGTTTACAGCAGCAAAGAGGACTATTTACTTACTTATACCGTAAAGTGGAATTTCACTGTTTTAAACAAGTCCACATTATTAAATAGCATGCAGACAAAGTCATTCAGAGCAGTCGGATGTGAAAGGGGTTAGAATTTGTTACAGTGATAGTGACAGGAACCAGAAGTCTGAAGTGTAAGGCCTCTAAAATCGTCCTCACAGAAAGCTGCTTGAGGTCTGAAGCACTGTTTTATGATAGTTTTGAGATAAGATTTTGGCAAAAACATTATTTTAAATACATTCGTTATGGAGAAACACATGCAGGGCAGTATGTGTTGTTGTTAGGCAAATTAATTCCCGAAGAGAACTTATGTTTTCAGGTTCATCACTGTTGTACCATCATCAGCAGTACATATAAAACTCAAAAGACATGCAGGTTCACTGGGTCTAAGTTTTGAAAAATTGGTGGGATTCCTCTTTGAGCAAATACATGTGAAATGCATCCACTGAAAACCTGCTGTTACAGAGAATTCTGTTAAGACTTGCAGCAGAATTCTGTGAGCTTAAAGTAAACTGAGAGCACTAAAACAAAAGTAGTTCCCTGTCATTTTACTGTAAAATTCAGTGGTCAATACTGTAAAAAAAAAGTCAAATGCATGTAAATAAACCACATATATACACTGTATTTTTTTGTCAATTTACAGAAATAGAATGTAAATTCACAGAAACAAATGATCACCTTTATTTCACATTTGCACTTGAGTTTAATTATTATTTCACTGTCATTATTATGGTAATACTGTGTCAGAATTGCTAGTTACACTGGTGAAATTGTTGAGTTGTGGTAAAGGGCAGCATTTCTGAAAAACTAAATGACTGTAATTTTACAGATTTTGACCATGACTGAGAAAACACACTTTTACTGTTAATTAATGGGTTTTTGTCTGGCACCACTGCTGCCAGATTTTTTGTTTTTCTTACCTTTTTTTCCTTTTTTACCAGCATGGATAATTGAGAAATAAATAAATGAGATAAGTAAAACATTTTTACAATCATTCATTTTTTTAAGTTCCTTTCTAATGCTGGAGAAGCAGAGGCCATTATGCTGCTGTAAGACTTCATCACCCAGAGGAGTGAGCTCATAAACTATTACTGAATATACATTTACAAAACATCTATCTCTCCTATTTATCAGTCTATTAAAACTCAAACAGGCTATGAAATCAGGTGCTGAGTGAGCCTCGTGTAGAAATCAGTTCAGCATGAAAAATGCTGCATTTATGATAATGATGCCTCATTTCAAGGCAGCGTGAATAAAATGATGACGAGGCCGATTTGAGCAGTCTCCTATGAAATATGAATGACAAATAAATATGCTGGGCTGCATTTTTCTCCTCAAGCTATAAAAACTGGTGATGTATGTGAATCAGTGGTCTGTACTGGAGCATTTTAGAGCATTGACCTATTAAGAGAACCATATTCTGAATAAAACACCCAGAATAAAAATTCTGATTGATAGATCCTACAGTAAACAGTTTAATTTGAGTAAATATACACTCACTCCCATAGAACATGAAAGATATTACACAATTTTAGTTGCAATCCCATATGCAAAGGAAATATTCAGTATATTTTACAAAATATTTGTCAAGTTTGAAATTTATTTGCATATAGCCATAAAATGGGCACTAGTGCATATTTCAATATTTGAATTTAATTTTAAAATATTTAAATATATTGGCATATATTTAAATATATTTAAATTAAAAATGAACAGTTAAATATATTTAGCACAGATATTTTAAAACACCACAGATATTGCATATATTTTTAAAATGACACAATATATGTGCAAGCTTGTTATATATTTCCATACAATTGACAATATTGCGTATATTTGACCTACATGTGCAGTACACCCATCAGGGACAACTGTGTCTGATCCACTCGCACCAGCACAATACACACTAACACACCACCACCACATCAGTGTTACTGCTGTGCTTAGAATGATCCACCACCCAAATAGTACCTGCTCTGTGAGGGTCCATGGGGGTCCTGGCCACTGAAGAACAGGGTAAAAGGGGGCTAACAAAGTATGCAGAGAAACAGATGGACTACAGTCTGTAATTGTAGAACTACAAAGTGCACCTATATAGTAAGTAGAGCTGATAAAATGGACAATGAGTGTAGAAACAAGGAGGTGGTCATAATGTGCCTGATCAGTGTATATTCCAATATATTGACATATATTTGCATATATTGGCACATATTTCAACAAAGAAAAATGGTAGTTAAATATATTTAGCACATATATTTTAGGCCATCATATCCAATGTGAGCAAATATATGTACATTTTTCTTCCATGTGGGCTTTAAGTAATTTGCCTCTCTATTGACGACTAAGCCTGAAAAAGGCTGAAATGACCACTAGAGGTCAGTATCAGACAATCATTGAAATCAGGGTGTTTCCTGCCCGCCGCCCAATGACTGTTGGGATAGGCTCCTGCTGCCCCCACAACCCTGGAGGATAAGCAGCTTTGATAGTATGTATATAAATAAAGTGTAAAATAATTACAATCACAATCTTTTTGTATTCGCCAAGCACATCGGGTACGGAAGTGATGGTGTCAGTGTTCATTTTAGTAAAAATAAAAAGATACTGACCTCCAGATTATGCAATATACAAAATAATGTACAAGTAACAGAACAAATGTCCAGTTACTGGTCATGGAAAACAACACCCTTCAAAAACAACAGCACATTGTGCTGCAAGTAAACGCACTCAGTTTCATGATAAGTAAAAAAGGCAAACAACAACAGCAGCAGTGGCAGCATTTACAGTCAGCCCTGCTCTCCTGCTCTGCTGCTGCTGCCCTAAAGTAAAGCCACGGCTCACAAAGGCCTTTCAGCAGAGCACATGATTTATTCAAAGGGCCATTTCTTTTATGTAACACCGCTGCTTTCTCTACAATTCATCTCTGGCCTTGAGATAAATGCGGCGCTGAACTTAGTACAGACTGTTACAGTCGCT